ATGTCGCAGATGGTGTTGTAGAGGACTTATTCAGAATAACAGTAGGTGTCATTATCTTGGTGCTGGTTTTTGCCGATTTTAGTTTATTCGGTCTTCGCTGCAGGGGTGTGAGGTCTGGCGAAACAGAGCAGCGCCATTTACGGCAGAAGTCTCTAGTTATCTCCCTACTCTACAAGATAAAATCGACTTCTATCATGGATAAAAGGGTAACTAATATCGGCGCATTACGGCTAAGCGAGCGAAGTCGCTTAGCTTGTGCGACACTGAAAGTCAAGCCACAACTTTGTAGGAACAAATGCGCTCCCTCCATAGCAGATAAGTGGCTCGGAATGTTTCGCAGTACGAAATTATGCTTGCGATTAATTCTTTCCTCGGTTTCCGAACTTATTACCGCAATAAATTTAAAAGCTTGTTCAATTACTTTTTCAGAAGTGCTGTTTATGTCGCCATAAATCAATATTGTACATATCGTTATTTTTTGAAAATTGTGTTATCATTTTCCCTTAGAACTGAGGTGTTTTTTAACTTAAAACGAACTCTCAATTCGGGCTCTTTTGGCTAACCAGACACCCGAAACAAATGAAGTCAATGTGCGGTTGAAATTGACGAGTTTGTTTTAGGTTTTTTTCCTGAGTTCAAAGGGGACTGATAGTGCCCAAGGGGCGCTACAATATACCTATTCTGTTCTATTTTATTCTATTTATCTCCCCACGTCCAACAAATATCACCGAAAGCCACTCGCCTGTGTGGATTCATATGTAAAAATTTCACCTTAAATGCACTAAGAATACAACTTTTCAAAATGTATGTTTTGCCTCTCCTAGATTACTGTTCAATTTTCTTCGGCATAATGCCCTCAGACGGCCGGAAGAAACAAGAAGGCATTCAGAGACGTTTTACTAGATCTTTGTCTAGAAGTGATGGCATCCAGGGTTCATACTTAGAACTATCTCATAAATACGGTCTTCGACCCCTCTGGATCAGAAGACTTCAAAATGATCAAAATTCCTATTCAAGGTCACCCACGACCAAGATATTCCCAAAATGAATTTACTAACCAACCAAAACGCCCCTAGAAACACCAGAAATAACGATGATATTATAAGGATTCCCAAATTCACAAAGTCCCAACGGTCAAATTTATACACCATAAGATAAGCGACTATCTGGAATTCTCTTCCAGGTTATATCCGGAAAAGTCGAACCCTAATCGAGTTTAAAATAAAAACTAAGAAATTCCTCTCAAATAGCAATACACATTTATTTTTGAATAAGATAGGACATTTTTCAAGTCAATTCCTTGATATAGAATTTGGTCCAAAAGGGCTCTGATGATGCCAGCCACTTGAAAAATACCGGAACATAGCACTAAAAATAATCAAATTTATAAAAGATAGCATCATTGATAAACATAGAACAGATAGTTTTATTCTTTTTTTTCTCTCTTCCTCGTTTCCATCAGCAACGTCACCTGACACTAAATATCTCTTAGATGCTAACAATAACATCACCTTCGATAAAACCCTGCATATGAGTTGTACGTAAGTATATATTAAGGCCATATTAATCATATATACAACTACATTTGACCATAGTAAACAGTCGACCATTACACTTATAATGCCACATTCACAAGAACAATATGATATATGATTATGTATTATTTTGACAGCTTTGATTGTGCCTCAGAAATTAAACAAGGCAAGATAAAACTGGAGTTCATATACCAGAAAACACACGGGGAAAGCTGGGGGACCCACTGACGAGCCGAACCCCTCGCAGCTGCGTCAGGCAGCGGCACAAGATCGGCGAAACACGCGTGTCTGGGCTTTTAGCTAATACCTGTGTTTTAGTACGGTAAATTATTGCAGCTTTGATTGTGATTTACCATTGAATGTTTCTTACTCCTGACATGTATTCATCTCTTCCAGCTTTTAGTCCAGACAATTATGGCAAGCCTCCTTGAAAACACGAAGGAAATGTGCGACCGCCCCTTTGCAGCTGGCCAGATTGTAGCAGGCACACATGATCGGTTGTTTTAATAGACAAGGGCGCTAAGTTCGAGAGCAAGGGTGCCTGGTGTCTGGACACTATCTGTCTGCTTTCTCTTGTTTTTTAGTCGATATGCATGAAGAAGAAGAAGAAGAAGAAGAAGAAAAAGAAGTAGAAGACTCCCCCTCCCCGGTGGCAGCATCCAACTCCACCTTCCCTGGACAGCTGTGAAACTAACGTTTTGTTGGACTAATAGATCGCCCCTTTGTTTGGCCCTCGTTCTACGTTCCCCTTTTTGCCCTTCCTCAATAAACCTTAGAGTACTACGCGGCGTATCGTGTGCTTGAAGATTGTTATTCCATAATGAGCGCTTGGAAGGACGATCCTAACGGTTCACAAATCGGACAGAGTGCCCCAGTTTCCGAAGTTCCGTCCCAAGCAAACCAAAAGGACGCGAGTGAACTCTCGGCCACCGAAGCCCTTTCGAGGTCGGACGCTAGAATGGTGGCAGCGAACGAGCCGAGTTCGCAGCCTAAAAGCAGTACGACAAACCCTATTCCGTCTTCTTTTAAACACTACGACGGGAGTTAAGATTTTTCGTGCTGGTTTCGCCGCCTTAAGTTCCACCTAGACGATGTTCCACAAAACGAACGCAGCCATACGGTACTTCAATATCTAGCAGACGACCAGAGGACAAGGCACTCGATGCCGGACTCACCCGCCACACCCCTTTCCAGGTGCTGTGCGACCAATTGCAGAGACTATTCCAACTCCCATTGACCATAGAGGAAGCGATGAGACCCCTCGGCAGTTCACCGACGCCTTACTCCGGCTCGCACGCGACGCCTACCCCTCACTGTCTGCGGCCGATATAGACCAAGTGGTCCTTTACCACTTCAAACGCAGTCTCGGGTCCCAAAATTTGACGTATTCCCTGAGGATTCAGCCACCGGGTGACCTCAACGAAGCCATCTAGCGGGCAGCCCGCATGCTAACAACCGACGCCCAAACAGGCGATAATCACTCCCTGGCTGAACCGTGGAAATCCACGCCAGACCGCAGGCAACAGAACAACACCTGGACAAGACCGCACTCCCAGCCTTCACAACGATTCAACCGCGGCAGCCGACCCTCCACGTTCCGCACGCCCTATCGGCCCCCACCGCTCAACACTGGGCCAATACAGTTCGGGGGAGATAGAGACATTACTGCGGCGGCGATTACCAAGGAAGGTAACCACATCATTCCCGTCTACTTTGATTACACGTCACATAGTTTACCGTTTTAAACGACGATTTACCTAGACAACAAACATATCAAGGCTCTAGTCGACACAGGTGCCACCACGTCGTTAATTCGGGCAGATGTATTAGACTCTAAGTGGTTTAACCTCGCCAGACAAAGCGGTCGCTCACCACACCTCAGAACCGCAGACGGGTCACCCATGACCACGTTAGGGATGGTTCGACTGCCCAGCTCCTTTCCATCCAGCGTTAAGGAACAAGCTTTTGTCGTCACTCACAAGATGTCGTGGGACATGATACTCGGCCTAGATTTTCTTTCTGCACATAACTGTTGTATTATGGTCAAAGATCGCATACTATCCTAAGGGCATAAGTCACTGCCTAACCACCCGACAGCCGCCGAGTTTGACGAAGAAGCCACCTGCGCGGCCATCGCAGCGTCGGTAGCCTTACCACCCACAAGTGTAGACACGGTCTTACCCCCAGACGATACGGTCGCCCTTACCGACAAGGAAGAATTAAAGTCACTCCTGACTGCGTTTAGCAATGTTTTCGCATGGGATGATACCTCCTTAGGTCGCACCGCTGCCATCCGTCACAGCATTGACACAGGAACGTCGAAACCTCTGTGGCAACCACCACGCCGTATTCCACCACACTTTCAGAAGGAGGTGAGCGACCTAATTCAAACGATGCTGACCACAGGGATAATCCGTCCCTCCAAGTCGCCGTGGGCATCACCAGTCACATTAGTGCCCAAAAAAGACGGCAAACTCCGATTTTGTATCGACTATCGACGACTTAATGCGGTCACCACCCGCTATTCTTTCCCACTGTCAAGAATTGATGTCACACTCGAAGCGCTTGCCGGAGCCCAACGGTTCTCAAAGTTGGACCTGAAGTCCGGTTATTGGCAGATTGAAATGGAACCTAAAGACCGCCCAAAAACAGCGTTTATACTACCACAAGGGCTGTTCAAATTCGAAACAATGCCGTTTGGGCTCTGCAACGCAGCCAAACACTTCCAACGACTGATGCACTCCGTCCTGGCCCACTTATACCCTCACAGCTGTTTGATATACCTCGACGACGTGATTGTGTTTGGACGCACGACCCGGCAACATAACGCTTACCTCGCCGCAGTGCTCTCTGCTCTCCGCGACGCTGGCTTGCGTTTAAATCCACAAAATTGCAAGTTTCTGTGCCGGAAAGTCACATTTCTTGGTCAAGAGTCAGCCCGCAAGGCATACAGGTGTCGCAGGAAAAAGTAGAGGCAGTCAGATCACGGCCTACGCCGAAGACTCCAACAGAAGTCAGAGGCTTCCTCGGCCAGGCCTCCTACTATCGCCGCTTCATCCTCCACTTTGCGGAGCTCGCACGCCCCCTCCATCGGTTGACCGAAAAGGGTCGCTCATTCACATGGTCCGACGATTGTCAACAGGCCTTCGATGAGTTAAAAGCAAAACTCACTTCGGCACCGATATTAATGCTACCTGACACGAGTCCTGAGGCCCCCCCTTCATAATCGATAGCGACGCCAGCGGGTTCGCGATCGGGGGCGTACTCTCACAAGCCGACGAGACAGGGGCCGAGCGACCGCTTTGCTTTGCGAGCAAAACCCTATCGAAGCCCGAGCGAAACTACTGCACCTACCTACGGGAATTGTTAGCGCTGATCACATTTATCAAACAATTCAAGCCATTCCTAGTGGGAAAGCATTTCATTGTCCGCACCGACCACAAGGCCTTACAGTGGTTACAAAACATGAAAGAAGCCGAAGGCCAGCTTGCGAGATGGCAGGAATTACTGCAGGAATTCGATTTCACTTGTCAATATCGACCAGGCCACCAACACGCCAACGCGGACGCCCTTTCTCGCCGCCCAGGTGACGCCGGCACAGCAGACCCAGAAGTAACGGACGAACACATAGCGGCGGTTACAATCAGCGAACCCACTCGTTATCATTGGGCATTTGCACAAAGTACCGATCCGGACACCGCAATAATTTACGACCACCAGTTGCATGGTCGACACAGACCAACAGAGGTCGAACTTCGCGGCTCCTCGGAGAATGCCCGCCTCTTGTGCCACCAATGGGCCACCCTGTTCGTTGAGAATGAACTGCTCTTCTTTAAAGACGCAGCATCCACCCATCCGCGGCTAGCTATTCCGAGTAGCCTCGTCATACCTGTCCTCACAGACTAATACCACGAGTTGGGACATGTAGGAGTGACTAAAACGGAAGCGGCTGCTAGGCAGCGCTTCTGGTGGCCCCGCCTCAGAGAGCAAGTCGCCAACTTCTGTAACGCGTGCCCCACCTGTGCCTCCTTTAAGGGCACTATCCCTCGAAATCGCGCACCCCTACAGCCTATGATTACAGGCTTTCCTTTTCAGCGGGTGGGCGTAGACATAGTCGGCCCGTTGCCTTACACAACTTCCGGCCATCGCTACATCTTAGCGTTGGTAGATTATTTTACGAAGTGGGCTGAGGCCAACCCTTACATCGACAAGATGCAGCCTCGGTCACCATCGCGCTGATAAAGGAATGAGTCTGTCGATACGGAGCACCCTTTTCACTTCACTCCGATTGCGGAGCTAACTTCGAAAGCCACCTTCTACGCGAAGTCTGTGACCTGCTCCTCATCCAGAAGACTCGAACTTCACCAACCCACCCAAAGGGTAATGGCCAGGTGGAGCGCACAAACCGGACCATCATTAATATCCTGAAGGCGTTCGCCGAGGACTACCACCCACACGATTGGGACGTGAAATTACCCTTCGCCATGATGGCCTACAGAGCTGCCATTCACTCTTAAACGGGCCACGCCCCATTCTATATGCTGACCGGCCGCCAATTCCGACTACCGACGGACTCGAACGTCCTCACGCAGCAACCGACGGCCTATACAACCGACAACTATGTGATAGAGCTACAGGAGCTACTAAGACTCACGCACAACCTGGCCCGCACACAACTCCGCAACGCCTACGAAAGACAATAGACTCATTTCGACCGACGGGCACACGGGCTTCCCTACCACATCGGCGATTTAGTGCTCCGTTATCGGGCGGTCCCGCCTGTGGGCACACCGGCCAAATTATTCCGCCCTTGGGAAGGACTGTTCGTGGTCGCCGACGTCAATTTCGCCCACTACTTACATTATCCGCGACGCCCTCACCCACGCCGGCCCCACTTCCACTGTACACTTCGATAAGTTAAAACCTTACCACAGCAGTCCCCCCGTAGCGTCCCACGATACCCTACGCATTCTCCCTCCCCATTTAGTCCCCTTGCCTACCAACGAAGTGGAAGCTCCTCACGACCCCCACCCTCCACCAGGCCCCGCGGACGGGGCACTGCCCAGAGGGGGGGGGGCAGTTGTAGCAACACACATGTACGGTTGTTTTAATAGACAAGGGCGCTAAGTTCGAGAGCAAGGGTGCCTGGTGTCTGGACACTATCTGTCTGCTTTCTCTTGTTTTTTTTAGTCGATATGCATGAAGAAGAAGAAGAAGAAGAAGAAGAAGAAGAAAAAGAAGTAGAAGACTCCCCCTCCCCGGTGGCAGCATCCAACTCCACCTTCCCTGGACAGCTGTGAAACTAACGTTTTGTTGGACTAATAGATCGCCCCTTTGTTTGGCCCTCGTTCTACGTTCCCCTTTTTGCCCTTCCTCAATAAACCTTAGAGTACTACGCGGCGTATCGTGTGCTTGAAGATTGTTATTCCATAATGAGCGCTTGGAAGGACGATCCTAACGGTTCACAAATCGGACAGAGTGCCCCAGTTTCCGAAGTTCCGTCCCAGGCAAACCAAAAGGACGCGAGTGAACTCTCGGCCACCGAAGCCCTTTCGAGGTCGGACGCTACAAGATAGACTGACAACCACTAATTAGAAAACACCGAAATTTATCCAACTAAAAAATAATTTCAAGGTCACGCCGATATCAAAGTTCTTCAATTTTCATGAGGGACTCATTATTCATGCCCCCAAAAACTACCAAACAGCATACTTCAACTTTTATATTGCACATATCGTTCTTTTTAAAAACTTTTGTTATGATTTCGCCTTAGAACTCAGGTTTTTTAACTTAAAGCAAACTCTCAATTCGCCCTCTTTTGGCTAAGCACCCAAAACCAATGAAGTCAAAGGGCAGTCGAAATAGATGAGTTTGTTTTAGGTTTTTTTACTGAGTTCAAAGGAGACTTACAGTGCCCAAAGGGCGCTTTAATAAACCTATTCTATTCTATTTTATCTTTTATTCCCTCGCCACAAAGAGAGGCAATCATTTACTGTATCTACTATTCCCAAACTCTTCAGCTAGTGATGACGCACAACTCTATGAAGTCCTTAAATTAATATCGGAAGCTGCTTTCGATGTTAAACTAATCCCTCGAGATTTAAACCTTACTGAGATAGACTGGGTTTCCAAAACCTGCCCACCCAGATTCCAATCCTTTCAACATATAGGCAATTCTTCTAATTGGTCTCAGCTTGTATGCTCCCCAACAAGAGAAAATCACATTTTAGATTTTTTTACCAATGACATAGCCCTCTTTTTGTTGCTTTCAAAAAGGACTTTTTTAGCGACCACACACTAATTAATTGTCGCTTATCGCTTGCCTTTTCAAAAAAGAGCAGCACAGTTCGGACCTATCTAAATTACGATTGCGTGAACGAACAATTAATAAATATCCACATTGCGTCATTGGACTGGCGTGGCTTTCCACCCTGTAGTGATGCAGACATCCTTCGTGACGTCATGTTCAATGTTTCGAAAGAAATATGAGAGTTTGTGTCACGGAGATGTCTCAAATCTAGTTCTTCGGATTCCCTTGTTCCTAATTTTCTTTGTAACAGACTTAGAAAGTTGAGACGAAAGCTTTGTGACTTATCCGCTAGTTCTTTATCTGCTCATCTTAGAGACACATAAATTTTCGAAAAAGCGTGAAGGATGCGCCAAGCGCACGATAGGCAAAAAGAAGCAACTGATCTCAGCGGTCCGAACGCTGACAAATTCGTCGCTAATATTTTCCGTCATCGGTCCTTCTATAAGCGTGATCTCGAAATTCCACACATACTAAACAGTAACAAAATATTCCTTATCGGTGAGGCCGACAAAACAGAGTTACTTAGTGAACTCTTTGTAAAACGCTTTATTACTGAGCCCGAACCAGTCTACCTCTTCAATTCACTTTCAGATAAGACACTCAGTAAAATCGATGTCTCCCCAGATCTTATTATGAAACACATAAGTCGTTTGAAAACTCACACTGCTCGGGGACGGACGGAATTCCGACTTCGATTATTAATAATGCATCCGACCTTCCCCTATTCCTTAGTCATTTATTCTCGGTTTACATTTCATAAGGGTTTTTCCCTGGAACATAGAAGCCGTTAATTGTAATTCCTGTCTTCAAGTCTGGATCTTGGTCCGATTTTAATAACTATCGGTGCATGCCAAAACCTCGTCTCTAACAAAATTTCTTGAAAGGGTAATTTTCAATGAAATGCATTATTTCTGTCTAGCTAGTCAGCTTCTGCGCTCCAATCAACATTGATTTTTACCTGAAAGATCCTGCAAAACTTTCCACTTAGCTTTCGTTAAAGGAATAACTTCTGTAAAGAAGATGAACAAACGATCTCTGGAATAGTAGGTGTATAAGTCTGAGCTTTCGGTCTCGTACAGAAGGCCATCGTCAGAGACTGTGAGAATGCAGCATCAAATGAGCAGTTTCCGTAGTCAGGCCATGAAGGGGGGATATGAGTGCATAGGGTAGTATTCGCGATAAGCTGAGCCCAACGCCATCTCAAGGCGGCGTGACTGCGTGCACCCCCGCCTGGAAATAGGGTCTCGCCTCTTGGTCGCAGGAACGGAGCGCGTGATAGCAGGGGGGTATGTCAACGTGTCTGTTGATAGAGTTGGTGTCAGACACTCAGGCCTCCAATAGTTCTCGCCCTGTCTTATTGCTGGCCCGCGCTACCATTCGCGTGCCTTCGTGGCCTTCCTCCAGAGTGAGTGGCAACCTGAGACAACGGCTCGCCTCTCCACAGCACCCGTTTATGCTCCGTTATTCGTGAGCTAAGTCGTCTGGTCTGTCCTGTGTAGTGGGGAGGGCTGTTCCGACATGGGATCTGATAAACGACACTCGATTGTTCTCCTACGTCTAGTCGGTTCTTCACTCGCATGATTTTGTTGCGCATTGTCGCTGTCGCTCTTTGCAATGAACAGCAGTCAGTGGTAGTTATATATTTTGATGTTAACAAAACCTCTGCAAGGTGTCCCATAGACGTCTTTTGGTAAGATTGGAAGCCCTCGGCATCTGATCGCCTCTACTCAACTTAATCGGGTCTCGCTTATCTAACCGCTATCAGAAAGACATGTTTAGTAACAGCTACTCGACACCTTAATCGATCATGATTGGCGTACTTCAAGGCACAGTTCTGGGTCCGCTCCCTCTGCCTTCTTTACATCAATGGTATTTCGACTGAAATCAGAAATTCATGAACGTTTATTTATGGCGATGACCTCAGGTGTGTTTACTCTTATTCCAGAAACACCGTAGATGTTTGCGTTAAAAAATTGGTGCGGATTTACTACGCCTAAGCAGATGGAGTTCAACCTGGCAGATGAAATTTCATCATCTGCGTGTAATTTCGTATTTTGACCCTGTCAAACTTCCTGGTCCTATAATTTCTCAGACCGACCCACTCTGAGAATGCTTCATCATAAAGGACCTAGGTCTAATGATAATGATAATTTTCTATTAAAGACCCGCCGGGGTCCCATCAAAGCAAGTTAAAATAAATTTACATGCGAGTTTTAGACGAGGTAGGCAGAATCTTCACACAATGAAATTCATAAGTTCTGAATTAGTAGTCCATTGAGAAACATGATTAGTGAGGGGTGAAAACAAACTCCATACAAAACGTTGAAAAAGATTGGATTAATTTTACAGGAGAAAAAAAACCTCAATAAAAATTATGACAGAAAAAAAGCGAGCAGGACTGGCCTGTACGTGGCGGTATATAGCGGATTGTAGTCGGACATCGTCAGGGTAACAATAAATGTCAGCCTCGAGGGATACGTATGCGGGTCAGACAGGACTGGCCTGCATGTAGTATGGTATACAGGATTCACAATTGACATCGTCTGGGCCGGATTGATACGCCGCATGAGACTATTCGCGTTAAAGAGGCCAGACGAGAGGAATCCAGGTGCAATCGGCCACAGCACGCTTCGAGCTCAGATGAGCAGTGGGGAAGGGAGGTACGACCAAACTACTAGTAGATGGTGAATACTGAGGGTTCCGCCGAGAGCGTTGACAGACCGCATGAGGTCGGAATGTGGGAGATGACATCAAACACCGCGAAAATTGCCGCTATAGGGGAGGAGTGATAGCAGTGGGTTTAGAAACCAATTCAAAACAGGGGTTTCAAGTGATATAACTAAGAATTACCACTTGATCTACCACCAAATCCCAGGAGGACCCTTCTCGAAGTCAAGAATCTCAGTGTTCAGGAATGAGAACGTTAACAGTGCCTTTATGCTTTCCGGTGTAAGATGTTTGCGTAATTTCGACTTGAATTCCAATAACTTAGGCGATAATCTAATTTCGGGTGGAAGATTATTCCAAAGGAAAGCATATTTGGAAGCAAAGAAGGAGGAGCGCTTAGATGCAGTACAAAGAGGCGGCGGAATCACCATGCAGGAGTTGCCCGTGGCATAAGACCGATCTCTCGGAGTGAGAGTGTCAATGTGCGGAAGACTGGAGCTAGAGTTGTTGCGAAAAAGGAAGCAAAGGCTAGCTTCGAGTCTTCTAACCCACAAAAACCTAATGTTCGCCAGCTGATATCTCTGAGTATAAGAAATACCGGACGAAGCTTCAGAGAACAGTTTCCGGGTGAAAACCCTCTGAACATTTTCGATTTTATTACGGTCGCAGGCGTTCACTAAACCGAAGAAAGGACAGCAGTATTCGAGGACTGGAAGAACAAACATTTGATAAAGTCTTTGCTTCATTTCCGGAAGGAAAAAATTATGCTATATGAATCCACATATCTGCGCGGCTTTGGCAGAGAGTCTATCTGCATGGGGTCAGTCAGTCAGTCAGTCAGTGTATTTGAGGGAAATAGGCTTGCGCCTTTGAACTCCCTATTTGTACATAAAAAATCGATAAACAAGCAAAAATGTGAAGAAATTACAGCATTAAGTGAATGCATACATTGATTCACATATATCACTAGTCACATGGTTAAAAAGTCACATAGTCCGATTGTTGCTGCAGCATATATCTGTCAAGGCGACATTTAAATGCCTCCACAGATTGAGACATAACAACCGTCTCGGGCAGGTTATTCCACGGTTCCACGACACGGTTGGGGAAGAAATATTTTCTCACATTCAGTCTACCCTGTGGCACACGTAGCTTGAAGGGATGTCCCCGGAGGTGAGTTGTAGTGGCGAGTTGGAAAAAGTCATCGCACCGAAGGGCACAATCCAAGCCGCGCACGATACGGAAAGTTTTATCATGTCTCCGCGCAACTGCCTATAACTCAGAGGATAGAGATTAAGGTTAGTTAAGCGGATCTCGTATGGC